GGATGCATCGGAGAGCAAGTTGGGGTTAGTATCTTGCCCAAGGATACTTGACATGCAGACTGGAGGAGCCAGGGATCGAACCACCGACCTTCCGATCAGTAGGTGACCTGCTCTACCTCCTGAGCTACAGCCATTCTATGGATACATTCACATTCTTGAAATTCTCACCCATTTAGTATATATATGATGCAGTTGACGTGGCAAAACATAATAAATACAGTGCAAGAAAAAGTAAGTGAACTACAGTTTTTTTAAAATTCTTTCCTAAAATGGTCACATCTAACTTACACTTATGAACAAATAGTCTAGTTCAATGATTAACACAGACCTCATTGCATTCTTCCTTTTCACAATGAATATATAATTTCAACAGTAACAATGTAGCTTGGAAAAATGATGTGAACTCTAAACTAATGATCACAACAAAGGTTGACATGCCAAAAAACCCCCCAACCAACTGTGGACTGATGAAACTACAGTTAGATTGTTTGGGAATATTAATATTATATTAGTTATCCAATTTAACATTAATAATACAAATCTATATAAAAAGAGCAGTGTGTATGAACATAAAAACATCATAATAAAAGATGAAGTGCAGTGAAGGGAATCGGCTCATCATCACTGAACTATAAATAAATGATCAAGTTTATCAGTGCTTTAACGTCATGGGGGCTTTCAGCTGAAGCTTAGCGTAGGCTGGGTAAGTGACCTTACAGGGAATGCAAAGATATTTTGTCATCTTAATCCTATACCTCAACTGCTATTGATGCTGTAGAAATGCCAAAAAATTTATATTAATTATATACTTTAATTTCAGTTTTCAGCAGTTGAGCTCAGTCACTACACAAAATATTATAATTATTTTTGTGATTAATTAAATTAAATTTATTCTTATTTACATAGCACCAAATGAAAACAGTCAATTCAAGGTGTTTTGTATTGTAAGAACAATTATAAGGAAAGTAACACAGAGAAAACTCTGACAATCAGATGACTCCTGAAGAACTGGGGTGACAGTGGGAAGGAAAAACTCCCTTTTAACAGGAAGAAACTTCCGGCAGAACCAGGCTCAGGAAAGGGGAAGCCATCTGCTGTGGCTGGTTGGGAAGTGATAGGAAACAATTGGGCCAAAAGACAAAATGTGGATTAGCATACACGTGTTTCTAAACTTGTGACCTAAAGAAGAGCTGCCCACAGAAAGGGGTCTTAAATACTGTTTCTTGTCGTTATTTGTCATTTAACCTAAAGACCAATTTAACCTTTCTATGTAACATGTTATCATTTCAGATCTTTATGTTAATTTTATTTATTTATTTATTTTACAGCTCACATAGATGCTCAGTCTTGCTGTTTTTCTGAGAATCGCTTGTTGAATAAATGTTGAATAACACTGTATCTCCTTTCAGCAGACAGTTCGGTTTGTGGTAATGTTACCCAAAGGCAGCAGGCTCTTGGAGAATACGAGCCACGATTTCCATCTTGGTGCTGCTGTAGCAGAGCCCATGGAGGAAATCCAGATTTTGAACGAAGAACCTGCGGTCCACCTGAATAAAAACCTCATCTACCACAAACGGTGCCATGATGCCAAGCAAACGGAACTCCTCCTCCGTGAACACGCCTGTATACATGTCCTGGAAATGAAGCACAAAAATATATATAAATAAAAAATAGGATATTTCAAGAAACGTGGGAAACAAGAAAACCGTACTAACTAAAAGCTGGCAGAGAAAAACTATTTATTAACTCTTTGGAAAATCCTGATTATCTCAATTCTAACATTTCATCTATGCTCATGTTAAAAAAGAAAGTACACCCTCTGCAAGTCTGCAAAATGCAATTCTAAGATTTTACTTATTAGGACATGGTAAAAAGTTAACTAGCTTTTAACCATGTCTTACAACCTGAGATTACACAACACATGACATATTACACCATGTCATTATTTATTTAACAAAAACTCAGAAGCAGTGTATACTCTTTAATAAAAACCTTTTTGCTTGCATACATTCAAAATTCAACATGCTAGTGGATTTAATAACTGCTGGCACCTTTTATGGCAGAAGTAACGTAAAACAAACATTTCTGATACCTGCAGATCAGACTTTAAAAAGTGTCATACACTCTTGAGATCCTTCAACAGTATCTGTATGGGGGTGAGGTGTGGACTCCAAACTAATCTGATCTACTGAACTTGATCTCACAGACGTCCACACTGAAATGAACCTATAAGAAACACTGATGCGCCTTTTTTTGATGTGTGTTATCTTAGCAAGGCGCTCATTTCTGTGGTGAGTACCGAGTACTGTGCAGTTCTTATGTTCCTAACAGATGATGGATGAATATTTAAACTTCCACCTTACTTTTCCGCTGTTTGTAAATGTTTGACAGTTGCTAATTTTAATGGTGTTTTTGGTCTTAGCTAAAACTTGGAAGAAGCTCAGATTATATTTTAAGACAAACACAAGAATAAATCCAGATAACTGCTATCATTTTTATCTTCTTCTGGTAGCTTTTTTTCCATTGAACCTCAGAAAAGGAAAACTGGGAAATCAGGCTCTACTTACCAACCTCTGCGCCATTTTATCCACCAGCAGCAGCTGCTTTGTTCGGGACAGCAGGAGAAAGTGATGCGGTCCTGCTATAATCATCCTCCTGAGACTGTTCATCATATCTGTGGAAAACCTTTTTATGGCACTCACCCTGCAGGACACAAACACACAAGACCAAAACAATCCAGAGTTTTGTTTCAGGGCAAAGAGTACACAAGGGTCTCCTGCATTGCACACATAGTCATTTTTCACAAAAGGCATGCAAATCTTATGGAGATTAAAGTTTCTCTGCAGTAACTATAATGCCAGCTTTGGACTTACGGCATTGAAAGTGCAATTTCACTTCCAAGATCTTCAAGCAGTTCAAAGAAGAACTCAAACTGATAGAGCACCTCGATTATACAGTTTTTCTGTCCAGAACAACAGACACATAATAGAAGTCACACATTAATGATCCTTGAATTAACGTAAATATCTTAAATGTCAGGAATTGATTGATGTGTAATTACCAGTGAGGTGTGAAGAAGACCAGGCTGCTGCCTGAGCAAGGCCAGGATGCTTCTCACTGAAGAACGAGACGGATTTGCCTGAAAACGATCTCTTAAGACAGCACAGCTCACACCCTGCCCCAGCGTTCCCAGACTCCTAGAGTCAATAGATGCGCAATAGTTAATTTATAAAGCTGCAAAATTGCTGGAAAATAAGAGCATCAACCATCAAAGGGGTTCATATATTTTGAAAACAGACAAGAAAACAATTGCTATGATTGCATGTTCATCTGTCCGTCAGATTAAGTGTACTTACAAGAAATGTTGTTTGATCAGATTTGGATTAGTATCAAGAACCTCTCTGAAAATTCCTTTAGCCTGGGGAAGAAAGTGGAAAAGTGTTGGAGTTGTAGTGGTAGCGTACAGGTTTGCGTGATCGGTTGCATTCAGAGGCTGATCCATTCACAGTGTCGCTGATGATGCCATTCTTCACTTAATAATTTAGCAGCTAATCGAGATAGCGTCATGCACACCTTCTCACAACAGAGAGGAAGCATATCCAATAAGAGGAAGCATGAAGAGATCAAAACACTCCCTGCTTCACTGTGAGAAGCTTTTACGTATTCATATACCGGAAGTGTTGGTACAGCGCATAAAGATGTAAACTTCCTACCCTTTCCTTCCTTTTCCTTTCCCCGTTTTGAATTTCTAATAATGCTTTTATATTTATTCAAGCCGAGCTGTTTACCACTCTGCAGTAATGCAAAGCAGGCGCTAATGTCACAGATGTGCGCTGTTGTGATACCTGCTGCGTGTTCCAGGGTTTTGTAGATGTATTGGAGAGGCTGTTCACAAGTAGACGTTTCCTCGGAAGAACACTGATTAGGGGTGTGCAGCCGAGCAAAGGAGCTACATCGTTCAACCAGGTGACCACCTCCGGGAAGCCCTGATTTAAACACAGTAAAGATAACACAAAGCGTTGCAGCAGGTGCTCGACACAGATGCATTCTTCTTCTTTCAGCTGCTCTCTTTAGGAGGTGCCACTGCCTCCATCTCACCCCATCCCTAGCATTCTCCTCTGTCACACCAGCGTTCTCCACGTCTTCCTCCACTACCATGAATCTTCTCTGTGTTCTTCCCCTTTTCCTCCTGCCTGACATCTTTTGGCCAGTATATCCACTTTCCCTCGTCTGCACGTGTCCAAACCATCTCAGCCTTGCCTCTCTAACTTTTTGTCCAACATGCTCAACCTGAGCTGTCCCTCTTATGTACTTATTTCTAATCTTGTCCATTCTGGTCACTACCAATGAAGATCTAAGCATCTTCAACTCTGCCATCTTTAGCTCAGCCTCCTGTGTTTTTATTTATTGGTACAGCTATAGACAAACTGTACATCAGCAGTTCTCACTGCCATCTTGTAAACCTTCCCTTTCACGCTTGCTGCTTCCTTCTGTCACAAATAACCCCTCAATACTTATCTCCACCAGCTCCACCCTGGTTGCACTCACCTCGTTTGTGCACTGTCCAGGTATTTAAACTCATCTACCTTCACCTTCATGCAGCTTTGCTTTTACATATGTATTCTGTCTTGCTTCTACTAACTTTCGTTCCTCTTTTCTCCAGTGGATACCTCTCCAGACTCTCTTCCTCCTGCTCCCTACTCTCACGATAGATCACAATGTAATCTGCAGACATCACCGTTTCCAGACCTCATCTGTCAAGCTGTCCATCACCCTCATGTAAACCCACATTTTGAACCCCTTGATTTGAGCCCAAAGATCCCTGTTTGAACTAAAGGAGGAGACAGAAAAGAGTTAACCTTTCATTTTCAAAGTCAATTACATGGCTATAACAAAAACAAATACAGTAAATTACAAATACAATGCATTTCTTCAAATTAAACTGTGGCATTTAGTGTGTGTGTGTGTGTGTGTGTTTTACCCAGAGTTTGGTGGCTATAGCATTGGCTTGTGGAGGGAGGAGGAGGCCTTTTCTATCAAGCAGACAGAGACCTTGTGTGTGTTGTGAAATAGCAACAAGGGTTGAGAGCAGTTCATCAGATGTAAGCGTCAGCAAGCTCTCTGTCTTCACTCCTACAATGAGAGAGCCGAGCTCCCCCAGCCGGTCTGGGATAAACTGGGCAGCAGGGAGAGAGATGATGATGATGTAAGTGTAAGGCCCAAAAATACAGAGACAATAACTGAACTCACTTCACTGTGATGAGTTTCCAAAATAACTTACTCCATTGACTGAAGACAGCTTGTCTACTATTACAGCTGCCTGAAACATTAAAAACAAAACAAGTAATCATTCAAACACCTCGTCAACATGTTGGTTAAATTCACCGTTTCCTAAAATATGAACGTCTTGTGGGATTTAGTAACACTTGTTCACACAACCGTTTTGGTCAAAATGGCACAAACAATGTGTAGCTTTGAAGATGTTCCTTCTCTGCAAGACTCCTTAAAGACATATGAAACCAACAGCTGTGAGGCTGAGGAAAATGCAAAAGGCCTCAGTTCAGATGAGAGCAGAGGATGAAGTAAAGCTTAGGTCTGTTCTTCATGAGGCCTGTCACCAGTGCTGGAGACAGGCTGCCAGGCTGTCAGCTGTTCCTAAGATATAAAACTCCCACCAGCTGCTACGAAATGCAACCATCTACTGCCAACACATGATTGTACACTCACTGAAACCGGGCCTTGGAAAGAAAAGAGTCAATTTGCTAGTAAGAAAGGAAATTACACCAATTACAGATGATGACTGTGGTTACCAGCTTCTGGTATAGATTTCAGGTTTAATTCACTCCTCTACCTGTGCAGGACTGAATGGAATAGAGTTCAGGGTGGGGAGGACAGAAAGCAGCTGAGACGTAGAGAGACCCTGCAGGAAAGTCACGCCCAGCGAGGGCAGGAGGAGCGCGATCTCTGCCAGGCGCTCAGCAGGGACCACAGACGGGACCTGCAGCTCGGTGGTGTTCAGTAAAATATTGAAAACCTGCCAACAAAGTTAAGACAAACAAAAAGAGCAATTATTACATGAAAGTATACATTTAAAAAAACAGTGAAGGAACTGCACATGAGTTCTGTTCCTACCAGGTCACTTGGCAAACGGAGTCCTTTACGTGTGCAGCTCATAATACTCTCCCGAATCACACTGAAAGCCTCGGTGCCTTTATAAACATCGAGATCAGCTGGGTCTGCCAGGCATGCGATACTACCCAGCCTGAAATCACAAAGCAAGGTTTCAACAACACACACACAGGAAACACCTGCCAAAATGTTACATGTATTTAATTTTACGAAAGAAAGAAAGATCTTAGTTTTTTAATTGGTTTGATTGATTATTTTAAAGGGTTTTGTGTCATTTTTAAAGGTTTCTATAACCTAAATAAATCAAGGCATTTCTAACTAATCAGTACACATGCTGTCAAATAATTAAAAAAAAACTTTACAACAAACCTTGAAATTTTAATATTGTGTGTAGGTGATTCTTTTTTTTTAAATAAAGCAAATTTAGTTATGAGGATTGGAAGTCAAGCAAGTAGATTGTATATATGACAAACTATTAAGTTATATTAATAAAATAAAAGGTTCAAATGCACCTAAAAAAGATCATCCAGCAACATTACATCAAAACTAATTACTGTTGTCCCAGAACTTCTTCAGCGATTTCACTTGGATGAGATAAAGAAATGTTTCCCTTGCTGAAAATGCTGCATACAGCTGAAACTTTTGGGGGATTTATTTCTATTCCTGGATTATTAAGCATGCATCAACACATTGTGTTCTGTCAGGTTTTATCTATGATTACAAAAAGAAAACATGGAAGGAAAATGTTGGAAATGCCTTCCTATAGTCATTCCAAACCTGGAAAAGTCCTGAGCTGTCAGGTTCCTGTAGGTGCTGATGAGGTTGCGTGCTACGAATTCCTGCTTTAGTGGAGTGAGGGTGTTTCTCTGCAACACATCCAGCCCATCAAGCAGCTGCCGATGAAAGCATTACAAAAGTGACATATCACAATTAAGTATTAAAAATGGGCCAATACATTTTGCAATATAGTGACAAGGAAAGAAAAAAACAGTACAGTGTAAAATTTGAGGATAAAAAGACTAAGACAAAGTTTGAAACGATTCCTTTAAAACCTTTTATTTATTTTTACTTTAGTATTGAAATATCAGTAGCCATGCTCATTCCTAATTCATGTTTTCCCAATATTACTTATTGAACACTGGCCCCTAGAATAAAACCCACAGTAGTGACAGAGACAGATGAGTCAGTGCTTTCTTTTGACCAGCGTGTGACAAGTGGCTGTGTTCTGCCCTGGAGCTGATCCAACTAGCTGCTTGCTTCTCAAGTTTCCCTGCCAGGTGTCAGAGCTCAGAGGGCCGTTACCTGAGCAGCTGAGAGGTGTTGGAAGTTCTGGAAGGGCAGGTAGGCGATCAGGTTTCCTGTGTCCTTGATGAGCGACTGTTGACCTCTGGTGATGCTGGAGGGGGACAATGCTTTGCTGTACCACAATCCAAAGGCCTGCTGCTGGTCCGGGGTCATGCTCTTTAAGATGTCATTAATTTTGTCCCGACTGGAGCAAAAACATTAAAATAATAAGGTTTGTTTGAACTTTCTGCTGAAGAGTTAAAAAATAATAATAATAAACTTATTTATATGTGACCTTCTTTGAATTACTGCATATAGTATAGTACTGGCTGGCATCATTAAATTTAGCTTGACTTAGAATAAAGATGTTAAAATTCTTACAAAGGTACAAAAAGGCCTGAACAAGCCTAAAGCTCATTAACAGACTATCAGAGACTTCAAATCTCTTAAGTTTAAGTCATATAAAAATCAAAGTATATTAGCAGCCTAATGATTTAATTTATTCTAAAACCATTTGCCCTTTTTTCCAGTCTCATTATTATATATTAGGTTAAATATCCATGGCCAACAGGTACATATTTAAGATGCAGATTTCTTACAGCAAGAAAATGATTTTCCAAAGTGAGACACTGGAAAACAACTGCAACAAAGAAAACAAGCGTTATCTGGATTAAGATAACTCTGAGAACCAGCTTGCATTACATTATTTACAATGTATAATGGATGCTCTGGACTCTGCATGGCAACGCATCATTTCCCTTCTGACTTCATTCAGATCCCAGAGGCATTTTCTCAGGGAAGAAAAATATATTGAAATGTATCTCAGTGAATGTTCAGCAAAGTAAAATGATACAAAGCATGACCCATTTTCTTTCTCTTTGAGTAAAAGCACCTCATCCTAACCTGAAAATGAGAATGGATGCTTTTAAATTTCACACCCATTATGCTATCTTTCTTTTTTTATCATTGACTCAGGAGCCACTTTAATAGCCTCACATGTTCAGCTGCTTCTTCATGTAAATGGACAGCTCAACACATTTAGGCATGTAAGCCTGGTCAGAATGACCAGCTGAAGTTCAAAGCGAGCATTAGAAGGAGGGAAAAAGACGATTTATGTGACTCTAAATGAAGCATAGCAGCAAAGGAGTCCCTCTAATGTCGCCTACAAACAGGAAACTGAGGCCGCAATTTACATGGGCTCTCCAAAATTAGACAATAGAAGATAGGACTGATAAGTCTTAAGTTCTGCTGAGATGGTAAGGTCACCATGGTGGTGGTGGTGTAATGGTAGGAAGGAACATTTTCCCAGCACACTTTGGCCCCAATCCAGTAAAACACCTTTCAGATGTGGTAAAACAGGAGAGTCACATCATGGATGTGCAGCCAAACATAATCTGCAGCCAATGTAATCTGCAGGAACTATGTGACATTATCATATTAATAAGGACTAAAATCTCTGCGGGAGGTTTCCAGTACATTGTTGAATCTATGGCACGAAGAATTAAGGTCGTTCTAAAGGAGGTCCAATCAAGACCTGCAAATTTGTACCTGATAAAATGGCAGTCTGTGGACATACTATTGTAAGGGTTCAACATAGCCACAGTTAGAGTCAAAACTGATAGTTTTGGTTTAAAATTATGTCCAGCAAAATATGTCCTACTTCCAAGATATTCGCAAGAACAAAATGAAAATGTTGGCCTTTCAGGAACCAGAGACACCGTTTTAATCCCTCACACGGGACATGTGGTAAGTTACGAAAATAATAATGCTTAGATGCATGAGTAGTGAGCTCATTAGTAAAGAAACTCCATCACTTACACTTTGATGTTGCTCTGCCAGGGAGGCAAAGCTTGGATGTCAGCTGGGCTGGCTTTAGTCAGCATTGGAGCGAGCTCAGGGAAAAGAGTAACATCTTTTACCAGGTGAGTCTGCAGTATCTCTGACACCATGGCGGACAGGTACTCATTGGGCAACTAGCAAATGGAAGAAAACAATGTCAGCGAGAAAACTGTGCCTCAAAGAGATACAACAGATAAACTGACAACTAAGACTTCTGGGAAGGGAAATTAAAAGGCGGATGTGGTGGTGGTGGTCTTATTCACCTGCAGTGTGTCTTTGACACTGGCGTAGTACTGAAGGATGAGTCTGATGGTATGATTGTGAGCTTCTTTGAGCACTGGCCTCAGGCTGCTCGGCGATAAATTGAAGTACGCCTGCACATGTGGAAAGAAGGTGAACAATAAACACATACTGGATATTGTGGCAATTCGCATTAGTATTATTATACAACATATCTTACCTTAATGAGAAGCATTTCGTCAGTGTTCTGCAGGTTTCTTCCCGTCTGCAGCAGGCTGCTTAGCACCGTCTACAAAAGGGAAATATGCAGTTATAATAGCACCTTATAGAAGGAGCATCAGACACATATAATACAATTGTCCCCTTTGACACATTATTGTAAGTGTCAAATCAGTTGTGAGCCAGGAGAGATTAACACCCAGAGGAAGAGACTCATCATCTGGATATCAGTGACAGAAGTGTAACTGGACACCAGCTGTACACTGAAGGTCAAATGACGCTAATGGTAAGTGATATGATGAATAATTAGATGAATGATAAAGCCAATGAACGGAACTACACAGAAACAGATTGAGTCTTTCTGAATAAAAGATGAGGTGAATCTCTACTCACACTACGCTCTGATTAACCTGCAGAGTGAATTTCCGAGAAAGGTGCTAAAATATACTCGATCAGCTCTCATTGACTAACAGACTCTTGCTGAGCCTCAAAGCAAAACAGAGCACAGCAAATTATCTCAAACCACCAAAAAACCTACATAGATAACAGATCAATGTAATAATGACAATTCAATAATATGACAATAAAAATAGTTGCAGAAATCAACATAGTACATATGCCACACCTCGTTTTTTATGAGGGTTTTTTATAGGGATTTTTTTCTATCAAAGTATGTTTTTATGCGTTTGGGATCATTGTTACGGCAGAAAATTCCAGAATAGTCCTTGCCAATCAGATACTTTCCAGATTGTATTGCATGGTGGATCAAAATCTGAAGATCTCCAATACCACTGATCGAAATGGACTTCCAAACTATGACAGAGCCTCCACTGAAAAAAAGCCAACAAGAACCTGACACAAGACCCGAAGGGCCAGATGCATCTCTCAGGAAGTGTGTCAGGTTTTTGCTGGATTCTTTCCCATTTCTAAATGTCATGATTTTCAGATATCACAACCTGTAGATAGTTTTTAGGCCTGACACTTCTCTTTCTGTTCTTCACTTTTTCACTTTAGTTTCTTTTAGGGACACACAGCTATGCCAAGTTTCTGGCGAATTGTTGGTGGAAAAATACAATTTTATACCTGTATTGTACTAAAGAAATGGGAACAGATAATCTTTTGTATCAGGCTGCTAGTAACAAAGTGCCTAAAACGCTATTTAACATTGATGCTAAGTTATGTGTAGACACAAGGCAGGTTCAGTCCTTGAGTTGGGCACCTTTTAAATTCTTGAATGAGCAAAGGTCGGTGAAATGAGCATGTTTCCAGTACACACAAAGTCAACAAAATTTTAAGTGTATTTTTTTTTTTTTTTTT